CAGGGGGTGAAACCTGGGGAGGGTTCCTTCCCTCTGGGGACAGGGCTTTAGGAGTTGGCCCACGCCTCCAGAAGGCTCCTTTGGTTGGGAGAAGGGACACAGCCTGGAATTCTGGGATTCCAAGGGGTTCTGAGCTGCACTTATGGGAAGTTTCATCAAAGGGGGGGAAGCACGTGCGCTGTGCAACAGCCTAGTCTGTGACCCTGTGCAGCCGTGTCCCTCCTTCAGTGCCGCAAAGAGCTGGACGAGCCATGTCTGAGTGTCTGGTCCCTTTTGATGTGGACGTTTCAGGACTTCAGGCGTCAGATGGGGCATTCTCTGGGCGAGTGGACACAGCCCCAAGCCAGCCCCTGACAGCTGCAGGGTTTTTCCGTGGCTGTGCAGCAGGCCTGCCTTCCTGGCGGTGCCTTTGAGGCCTGGGTGCCGCGGGACTGCTGGTGCTCTTTGCCAGCCGTGGGCTTGGGGGGCGACGAGGTGAAGTTGATGGTGAGCCTGTAGAAGGACCTCTGGAAAAGCAGGGAGGGAGGGCCATGTCACCCAGCGTCTGATGTTCATAGTGTTGCAGACAAGAAGGTGGAGGCTCTGAGAGGTTAGGGAGTAGGGGGGATAGGAACCCAGGGGAGCACATGTGGCTTGGTGAGAGCATGGAGGGGCAGGTGGTGCAGGGACAGAAGGCACGCATCTCTCCTGCGGGCCGCAGCCTGGCGCCGTGCTGTTGTGCGTGTGGATTTCAGAGGACACGTGGCTGCCTTCTGCTTATTCACCTGTTCTGTGGCCTCGCAAGCTTTCTTTTTGTGCCTGCTCTTCCTTCTTTCCCCTCCCAGACGTAGATAAGGCTTGCAGGTACCTGGGTCAGCCCTCCACCCACACTGTCCTTCCTCAGCCGGTCACCCACTGTGTGGCCGCCCGCCAAGATGATGTCCCTCATCCCCAGAGAGATGCTCACACTATTTAGGGAAACTTGAGTGTTCCTGATCTCATCCTGGAAATGCTCCCTGGGATCCCGAGGGTCCTTGGAGCCACTCTGGGGTAGGGGCAGTATATTCTTTTCCTAGGGCTGTCATTACAAATGACCCCCACCCACTTCTCAGCCCTCCTTGGGGTCACGCAGACTCACTGGCTGTAACTCACAGGGTTGTGTCTGGGTTGGACCCAGGAAGGACCACAGGGGAGGACGCTGGCATCTACTTGTCCACACCTGTGCCGTGCCAGGGAGGGGGTGCAACTGTCCCCATCCACTCTTGCTCTGTGTCCCTCTATCCTTATGGCCGCTTTACTTGGCCATTAAGCCTCATGCCCGCCCACTTCCCACCAGTCTCCTGGAACTGCCCCTCTTTCAACCAGAGCAGGACTTGCAGGGACCAGAGTCCCTGCCTTCCAGAAGAAATCACAGCGGTCTTCCCTTGGCACCTAAGACCCTAGGGATGACAGCTGGCTGGGAGCCAGGCTGTGGGCCCCACCCATCTGCCTCTGTCAGCCGCCTGAGCAGCACTTTCCAATTAGGATAGGCACCTCCCGAGCGATTGCTACAGTTCTGCTTAGTTTCTCTCTCTCTCTCTCTCTTTTTTTTTTAAGATTTTATTTATTTATTTGACAGAGAGAGACACAGCGAGAGAGGGAACACAAGCAGGGGGAGTGGGAGAGGGAGAGGCAGGCTCCCCGCTGAGCAGGGAGCCCGATGCAGGGCTCGATCCCAGGACCCCGGGACCATGACCTGAGCCGAAGGCAGAAGCTTAGTGACTGAGCCACCCAGGTGCCCCGTTAGTTTCTCTTTTTATGTGTATGTGTTTGGGGTCTTTTTCTCATGCCTTACAAAGAATAAGACAGGTAGTGCTTGACTCTGTCTACGTATGTTCACATACATCTGCATCCCCACTGCATGCTCACTTTTTAACTGATTGGGTTTCATGACCTAGTTTGGGGGGCCCTGCTCCCTATCAGACCGCGCCCAAGAGGGGGGCCAGCTGGGAGCCAGCCCTCACTCCTGCACAGTACCTGCATGTGCACGGTGTGGTCCAGCAACGCTTGTTGGATGAGATGGAAAGGCATTGAGAACCCCCAGACAGCGTGGCCCCTGGCATGCACATCCCTGGGGCTTGGAGGAGGGTGAGGCTCTGTGCTCTCAAGTGTGGACACGTCAGCATGAAGCACAGGCCCCAGGGACCAAGACTCTTGGAACAGTGCTCAGAGCTGGACCTCGCAGCTGGGGCTCAGCTGTCCCAGGACCCCGGACAGATGGCCCCTCGCACTGGGGGCTCCAGCCGCAGGGACAAAGGGCCCCTGCACCAGCATATGGAGTGTTCATGGGGGTGTGGCTGTGGCTGGGATATCCTGACTTAGGGCAACCTCATGGCTGTACGAGGTCATGGACTTGTGGAAACTGAGACCAAATGTTCCAGCTCCCAACATCTGGTCAGATTGGTGCCAGTGAGTGCTTGGTCACCCCCAGAGAAGGGGAGCTCATTCCATTTTGAGGCCTGTTACAGCTGATGCTGGTTCTTAGTCTGGGGTCTGGGGGACATGTCTGTGTGAGACAGAAAGGGACACTGTCCCTTCCCACACAGCTTATTTGACATGCAGGAGGGTACTAGACATGGTGTCCTAGGCATGCCAGGGGACACGGTGTTGGGTGCTGAGGAGGGGTTCTAGGGGCTGGGGCGGAAGGGGGAGAAAGCGAGGGGACGAGCGGGGGTGGACACACGTGCTGGGCCGTGGCCTGCCGTGTGTGCACATGATGCATGTGTGTGCACACATGTGTTTTGTGAGGCCGCAGGTGCTGTTCCCGTGTGATATGGGTGTCAGGCATCAGCAGGATGCCCTACAGGGCCTCAAGGAGAGGGGTCCCTCGGGTCCACAGCAGGGTTTCCTGCTCTGCACCCCACTGCCTCCTCCCTGCACTCTGGAGCTGGCCCCTTGTTCCCAGCAGGTTGTTGGAGACAGGGAGGGCCACCTGTCAGGCGGGTCTCTGTCACCAGAAGGGGCTGGAGTCCCCATCTTGCAGACCTGCCCCCAGCCAAGCCTCCGCACCACGGCACGCCCTGTGCTTCTCACACCAGCCACCAGGGGGCAGAGGCCAGCAAGCTCGGCCCCTCCTCGGAGGCTCCTCGGACAGGCGTCTCAGGCAGCTCAGGCCTCTGCTGCAACTTGCTCCCAAGGCGCGGAGCGCACCGGCCAGACAGGAGCCTCCTGGGTCCCAGGTCTGGGATCCCTATAGCGCAGGCTTTCTGGAAGCCACTGACTGCAGGGCCTGGAGTCTCTTCTAGCCCCGAAGGAGCCAGCAGCGGGGCTCTTGGGTCCAAAGTGCCTCCTCTGCTGGCCTGGCTGGCTGGCCGCCACATTCAGCAGGGTGCCTCTGTGGGAGCCCAGCTGGCTGTGCCCCAGGGCTAGGTCAGGGCAGTGGGCCAAACTCTCAAAGGTGCTCAGCTCCCGTGAGACCTGGGGGTGAGCACCGCGCCAGCACTCGGGGGCCTGGGGGCTCTGCCCTCTGGGCGTCCTGCCTGCCGGCCCCGTGCTAACATAGGAGGTCGTAGGTACCCAAGATCCAGACATGCTTTCTAGGCCTCAGGGTGTGTGTGGACTCCCCACGCCGCGGTGCAGTGCGTACCCTGATAGAGAAGTGTGCACTCCGGGCGGGGGCGCCCCAGGACGCAGGGCTGTCTGGCTTTGTGTGGCAGTGGGGGACATGAGCTCCTGCGGTGGTCGGCCCCGCGTGTGTCAGGGTGGGAAGGGACGCTGGCTTCCAGGACCTCCCAGCCTAAAGTGGCGGGAAACCCTGGAGGTGGCGGAGCTGGTTTACAGGGAGGCCTGGCGGGACAGCCCCGCTGGCACAGGATTCACTCGAAGTACAAGGGAGGCTGTTTGTGCTGTGGCCTTCAGCCCGAGCCTCCCCACCGACACTGTGGGGTCTACTGGGATCCAGCTCGCCCGGTGTCCCCCACGCCGTGTTGGGGTTCACTCTGATGTCCTCCCCTGGGCAGAGTGCCCTGAGGTGTTGGGGATGAGAGGCCACATGTGGACACCGTCCCGTGGCTGTACGGAGAGGGCAGAGATCCTCAGGTGTCCTCAGGTGGCAGCAGGGACCCGCCACCATGCCCGCCCCTGGAACTGGCGTCCTCGGCCAGTGGGGTTGAAGAGGGGAGGCTCCTAAAGAAGGACCTAAGGCGGTGACCAGCTTGTCACCGCTCTCCCGAGTGGCAGCTTGTGGGGGCTTGTTTGCCTGGCCCTGCCTTGGCTTCAAGCTCAGGAGACCCACCTGCTTTGAGGAACAGCCCAGAACACAGCCCTGCCCAGGGAAACTGCCCTGGTGGCCCAGACCACCATCTCTGGCTGGACATTCCACGTTTAAAGATTTTATTTTTAAATAATCTCTACATCCAATGTGGGGCTCATAGAACTCCAAGACCGAGAATGGCACCCTCTAAGCCAGCCAGGCGTCCCAGACGTTTCACATTTGAATGGCTCCTTCCACCCGCCAGGCCCTGCATGAGGCTGGGGGACCGAGGTCACATGCTGGGGCACCAGGAGGATGCCCAGGGGAGCTGCAGAGCAGCAAGAACCAGCCATGGGGAGAGTGGCTGCTCAGGGACGCGGGGCTTCACCCCGAGGGCATCCCAAAGACTGTCCGCCAGCCTCCATGGCTACCTCCGGCCCCCAGAACAAGCCTCGAATCCAGTGTGCTGGCCTCAGGGGGACCCCCATCTCATGACAAGGAAGGTGAGAACCACCACCACCTGGCAAACTTTTGCCAAGATGTGTCACCAGGGACTAGACGGGGTTCAAGAGAGAGGATGTGTTCTGGGGGAGCTGAGGGAAGCCTAGGGAGGCCCCGTGTGCACAGGGAGGGGCCTGGGGCAGGTGGGCAGCACCGTCCCTGGCCAAGTGCTCGAGCTGCCTGGGGACAGACACACAGCTGCAGATCTCAAGGAAAGGGAGGTCGCAGCTGCACCCCAGCCCCCACCCGCCTTTCACCCTCCCAGATGGAACCTAGCGATCAAGGTTGCTATAGATGCTTCGAAATGTTTTATTGAAGTTTTTTTTAAAAGAGCAATAATTTATGCCATGAACCGAAAGAGTACAACTGCTCATTCCCACCCCACCCGTCACCCCCCGGGGTGGCCTACCAGCACGGTGCGGGGTACGCCTGGGAGTGAGACAGCGGGGTGGCGGCCAGGACCCTGGCGGGAGGAGGCCTGCACCGCGGCGGTGGCCGCTGCGAGCGGCCAGGGGCCCTGGGGGCTCTGCCTGGCAGTTGGGACGGGGGACCCAGGATCTGTCTGAGCAAAGCCCCAGGGCGCGTGCTGGCTCTGGCGTCCACGACTCTCTTTCCCTCCCCCGCGCCGACCCCACAACTGTTGCTTTTTGATTGTTTTTTTTTTTAAAAATATAATTTTGTAAATGTTCCATAAAAATACTATTGTTCCTAGTCAAACACGGGTATTGCCATAGGAAGAGTAACTGCTCGGTCTTTGCTCTATAAAATGTGAAAAGATCATCACACTGGATAATATAGAAAAATGCCAGAATTCCTAAGTATCACAAAAGCCAGTACCGAGTGCGCGAACTGGAAGCGCTGAGAGACGGTGGCCGGGCTCCCCCCGCGCCCCCTGCTCAGCAGCCAGGCCTGCGGGACGCCGATGGGGCACAGTGGGTCTCTGTGCCAGAGAGGAGGACAGCATGGCTTTGAGACAGACCGGCTGCCCACCGCTCTCAGGCCCAACGAGCCAGCCCCGTGAGGGCCGCCTGCTCAGCCCGAAGCACCGAGGAGCCAGCAACGCTCGGCCAGGAGCACTGGAGGCCACCCTCCGACGGGGCCCCTGGTGGGCTCAGGGACGTCTGTCCTGCAACACAGGAGGCTCTGCTTGTCCCACAGGCGCATTTCCACGCAGGCGCTGGGCCTGTCCCCCCAGCCGGCCCCATCGCCCGGAGGCGGGAGGGCTCAGGTCCAGGGGCTGGGCTGTGCCTTCAGTTCTCGGACAGAGACAGGGCCAGGGCAGCCTGGAAGGCAGCTTCCTCGTCGATGCTATAATCCTGGAAGACAGGAAGGGAAGACACGGGGATGCGCAGGTGCCCCTCAGGGCCAGACCCTCCGTCCCGGGGCCCGGAGGAAACTGTGCTGCCCACGCCCAGGGCCGTGGGCTCATGGGATGGGCTGCCCACACACGGGATCCACATCTGGCTCCTCCGCAGGGCACCACGGGGCTTCTGCAGCGGACTACCCCACAGACACCTGGCCCGGGGACCGAGTGCCAAGCGGGTCTGTGGGAGGAGCAAGGAACTGGGGTCTGAGGAGCAACTAGGACCGGGGCGATTAGCCCCAAAGGCCCTGGTGTGGGAGGCTCTGCGGGTCGGGGGGGCGTGGCTTCCAGAGGCTGGAGGGACAGGGCAGGGCCTCTGTGGGGGCCGGCCGTGGGGAGTGGGCACGCACCACGAAGGTGTCGTAGGAGAACTTGTGCCGGTGGAGCAGGTGCTGCAGGAAGTTGGCACTCTTGTAGCTCGGGTCCCCCCAGGGCATCGCCGAGCAGATGGGGCACACCTGCAACACAGGGTGCGGGCTGAAGCAGCTCTCCGCTGCTCGGGGGGAGCCGGCCCCCCCCCCCCCCCCGGTCCCCAGGGCTGGCGGCTCACCACGCGGTTGGGGTCGCTGCGGTGGTTGTCCACACAATGCTTGAGCAGCTCCTGCTGGTCCAGGTTGCGGGCGCCACAGTAGGGGCAGGTGAAGGTGGACCTGTTGGGGACGGCGCTGCGGCGGTGGCGGGAGGTGAGTGGGAGCCCGCGCCGCCTCCCCCTGCGGCATGGCCCGCCCCGGGGGCACCCAGCCGGGCCGCCCCCTGCGCTCTGGCTCCCATCCCTTCCCCCCCCACCCTCCCCCACTGGGAGGTGACTCGCGGGCCTGTGCAGGCCCTCCTTGGGGTCCCCTTCCTGCAGGGCAGCGAGGCTGTCCGCAGAGGGGGACACAACAGCCTCTCCCACCCCCTCCAGGGACAGCAACGTGGGCCAGGAGCTGCCCCTACAAGGAACAGGGGCTCTGAGCACTGGAGCAGGGTGGCCTACCTGGGGATGGGCTGAGACGTGGGCACCACAGGGACGAACTTGGGACAGTTGGCCATTTGTTCCTGGACCTTCATGCAGGAGGAAACGTGCACCCTCATCTTGGCCAGCGTCACCTAGGAAGACAGAGGCCGAGGAGGTGTCGGGGTCAGGCTCCAGAGGATGAGAGGGCCACTAAGCAGCAGGACCCGTCCCTGCCCCTGACGTTCATGGCCCAGCAGTGCTGTGTAAGCAGTGGGGGGCTTCATTCAGGGGCCTCATGACCCTGCCAGAAAAGGGGCACCAAGGGAAGGAGACACAGACTCCGGACACCCACTGGCAGGTGCGTCTGGCCACCAGCTACTGGACAGGAGCACACCTCAGCTGGCGTCGCTCGGGGCCTGCAGAGGGCAGGGGCAGTCCTTGAGGAAACCAGAACAGATGTATCGGTGGGGGGGGGGGGGGGAAGCCCTCATTACAGAAACCGAGGAAAAGCGTTCTTGTAGACGGCCAAGCATCTACTTGATAGAACTTCTTACCAAAACGCACCAAACCACAGCACAACCTTCTCTTCAGCCCGGCCCGGGGCACACGCTCTGGCCAAGGGGCAGGGAAAAGAGCCAGGTGTACGGACCTCGGTGTGGCTCAAGTGAACGACCCAAGGAAAGGGACAGGTGCAACCATCCGTCCCTGGGGAGCAGATGCTACCAATCCTGCTGTCACCAACGCCAACAGGCTGGGAGTAAATGTCTCACAAACAGAAAACTCGTTCACAGGACCAAGGAAGCAGCGAGGAGGGTGTGAGTGAGGGGTAAGGTCCCCGGGGCCAAGATCCCCCCCAGGTGTCCTGGGCAACAGGAGAAGGGCCTCTCGAGGGCAGCCTGGCTCCCCACTCTGCTCGGGCCTGCCCCACTGGCCCACGAGTGCGGACAGACCTGAGCACGCTGTGGCAGAGCAGGCCCGCTGCATGTGGGAAGCCGAGAATGGGCCTGGCCTGCTCTCTCGGGAGAAAGCCTGCGTGCCAGGGAAGGAGGCCAGCAGCCTCATTGCAGAACCCGGAGTAGCTCCAGGATGTCCTGACTCTGACCCTGACCTGTAGGACAAAGCAACCAGGGGTTGCCTTCTATTGTGATGTTCCTATCAAAATGCAAAGTCAAAATCCGCTCCTGGGGCTGGGCCACTGTGAGGAGCTCCAGGCAGGGTGGAGAGACAGGCCAGGTGGGTGGTGGTGGTCAGCCCTGGAGAGGCAACCCCCTCCATTCTGCCTGGGGCCCCAACCCCCGTCGGCAGGGCTGAGGCTCAGTTCCCATGTCCCCAAATTAGCCCCACAACAGCAACCACGCAACAACGTAAGACCCAGAGCCCAGGCCAGGCAGCAGGGGTGGGGGTGATGGGGGGGGGTGTGGGAAGGCCCCCAGGGAAGTGAGTGGAACCGTGGGGGAGGGGCAGAGCACAGGCTCCTCTCTGCTGGAGAGGAGAGGGGGGAGCGGAAGCAGGCCCTGCAGCTGCAGACCACAGCCCTCCCCGCCCAGCCGGCCGGCCCGCCCAGCCCCAGGAGGGCCCCGGGGGTGGGTACCTTCTTGTTGCAGCCCCTGCAGGGTGCCTTGTAGGACGAGAGCTGCTTCTCCACATGGGCGGCCTTGTCTACCTTCTTGGGGTCGAAAGGCAGGCGGCACAGCGGGCAGAGGGGGGACGGCACCTGGAGGCAGGGCTGGAGGCACTCCCCGCAGAACCTGCAGGGGGAGCGGGCATGGGCCTGAGGGCCGCTGGCTGCTTTGAGCCTCACGGGGCAGCTCCCCTCTGTGTCAGCGGCACATTTCTGGAGACCATCATTCTGTTCCTCTGACTAAACGATGACCCCAGGTCCCCTCCCAGCTGTGGGCTTCTGGGGCCTGCTGCCGTCTCCACGAGGCTGGTGGGGCTGTGGCTGGGGTTCTCCGGGAGCTGTGCTGGCCCTGCGGCCCCGGGCCCAGCCCGAGGCTCAGCCTGCCCGTCTCATGGCCATGTGGTGATGCCAGCACCCCAGGTGCTCTGGGGACACAGGCAGCACAGGGGGGCTCTGAAGACCCTCCACCCACAAAGCTTTGGAGAGTAAGATCATCAACAATGCTGGGAGAGGAAACCACAGCGCTCCAGGGGCCTGAGACTCATTGGACGGGGCAGGGCCAAAGCTGTCCAGCCTCGTGACAGCGCTGGAGCAGAGGCGTGCTGACGGAAGGGGCCTTGCTTGGGCTCCTGACTGCTGAGCAGGGACACTCATGGCCCTGGCACACACTCAGGCGCTTGAGGCTCTTGGTGCTGTCCCTGGAGATGCCGTATCAAGAGGCCAGCCAGTGGATACAGATGTCCTTGGGCCTCAGCAGCAAGCCCTTCTCACCCCGAGTCCCCCCAGTGCCGCAGAGAAACTAGCAGCGTTCAGTCTGCGGGGACACCGGGCTGGAGAGCACCCAGCGGGCAGCAAGAGGGAGCTTGATCCCAGGACCCCCTTGGTCCAGCTTCTTAGGAAGCGTTGTGGGGGCTGCTCAGCTATGACCCCGACCTAGAATCTGCAGACGCTGAGATGGAGCCCCAGGGCCCCAGACGAGTGGGCACTCCACCCCAGGACGAGGGCTAAGCCCCCACCCACAAGAAAGGGAGCCCCTTCAAAGATTGGGATATGCGCACAACTGTGCCGTCATCCGTGTGCACCAAGGGGGGGCTGTGGGGGCCACGGGATGGGAGGGTGTTCCCGAGTGTACACGCTCAGCTCAGCTAAGCTAAGCGGCTGGCATTCTGCCACCAGGAGAGCTTCACTTCCTTCCCAGGAGAAGGCAGCGGGGGTGATCCAGAGTCCCTCCTGCCGTCCACGCCTGGGCCTTCCTCCTGCATGCTGGCTTCCGGTGCTGCCCCCACCTGGCTCGGCACCATCTGCAGGAACGGGCACAGAAGGCCCAGCTTGGCCTGAGGTCCATCAGAAGACGCAGCATTCCTGGCAGCCTCTTTCCCCCAGGAGAAGGAGGATGGCCCACCTGTCACCCTCACCTGGCGGACATGTGACAGAGGTGTCTAGGCACCCACCCCACGGTGTTCTGGTGAGTGCCCCAGCCTGCCTCTCTGGCAGTTCCAAGGGTCTGACTAGCCTAACGGCCGACGCAGGCCTCTCTCTTTGCCTGTCACGGGAGGAGAGCTTGCTACTGTCGCGGTGGGTGTGCACGGCAGCGCCACCACAAGAGCCACGGGGCAGAAACAAGCCACGTCATCCACGGGTAACGGACACACGGATGTGGCCAATCCCCAGGATGGGTGAGCTACTGACGGACGCTGCCACTGGGGCGAGTCTCGGGGACACGCCAAGCTCAGGACGTGTGTTGTGTGACTCCACTGACATGGACAGTCAGAAGAGACCCGTCCACAGACGCAGCACAGATCCCTGGTTGCTGTGGTGGGGATGCTGGCTCAGCACCGCACACTCCGGGAACCACCAACGTGTATACTTCAGACGAGGGCGTTCTCCTTCAGCAAAGCTGTAAGTCACACATGCAGAAGGATGGCCCCAGGAGCGCTCAGGGGACAAGTCACCATGTCGTCAGGGCAGGCCTCAGGGCCACGGCTCCGACGACAGATGCACAGGTCGGGGTGAAGGGCACCTCTTTGCCAGCAGGAGGGGGCCGGGGAGCTTGGGGTCTTGAGAAGGCATGCGAGGACCCCTGCCTGCACCCGGACCCGCCCGCCGGCCCGCAGCTCTGCTGGTCTGTGTGTCGTGGCACCTGAGGAGCTGCGGGCACCATCGGCAGGCAGCCAAGGCTCCACGCTATGAGTGCGGTGCTCGGAGCTGCCCCAGACAAGCCGTGCCTGCCTCTTCCAAGGAGGTTCTGCCAGCATAGGCGGACAGAGCCAGCTGAGGGGTCTGCTCTCTTCCCCCAGGCCCGACCACACAGGCTCCAGCGCCGCGTCTCACTCCTGCCCAAGCCTCTCGCACACACCGCCATGCCAGCGCTGGCCAACAGTGCAGGGGACCCACGAAGGCCAGGAGCTGTCCTCAGGGGCAGAGCCCAACTTCCAAAGCCTTGCGTGGATGATCTCCATCGCCCGCACGCAGATGGAGGTGCGCTCCCAGTGCCCGACGGAGGCCTGTGCTCGTGGACCGCCAAGCAGGGAGTGACAGACCCCGCCCAGAGAAGCCCGCTCACGGGTCTGGGTGCAGGTGGGCAGCGGGCCGTCAAGGCTCAGCGGTCCCCAGGGTCTCCAGGGTCTCCAGGGTCACTGCTGCAAGGGTGCTCACCAGAGTCGGGGGCTCAGAGGCCAGCCCTGCCCAACTGCCTGAGCTCAAGCTCTGGCTTTGCTGCGACCCCTGGGAACTCAGCCTCTTGTACAAAACAGCAAGAGCACCTACCCGACGGGGCCGCGGCACGCCGAGCACGCAGGACGCTCCTGTCCTCGTCAATCCCTAAACGTGCTGGCTTCTGGTGCAGACCCCACCTGGCTCGGCACCATCTGCAGGAACGTGCACAGAACGTCCCCCTAAACGTGAGCGCTCTTACTTCTCTACGATCTCTGCTCATTGACTGCATGTGGGGATGCGGAGGTGGAGATGAGAGAGCATGAGAGGAGAACGGAGGCCGGGGGAGCCTGCCCCCCCTTCCCCAGGCCCTCAGGGGAGGGCTCAGCAGAGGGTCATACATAGCCATGCAGCTGCTGCTTCCAGAGGGGACTTACTGCCCAGGATGTCCCCCGAGTATGAGAAATAACCGGCTCCCTCTGGGGCTCCTGGGGAGCTCCAGGGAGCTCTTCCACAAGCCCCGCTGAGGGCCTCCTGACCGAGACCCGCCCCGACCTCTCCTCTTCCGTCTGGTGCTGCCCACGCACAGCCGCTTAGCACCAGAAACTCTGTTTTGTGGAGGCAAACTGTTTATGGTTAGGTGGCTGTGCGGGACAAATACCTAGACCACCATCAGGTTCTTTGAAGGAAAAGCGTGAGCCTTTAAGTCCACTGTGCTTGTTCGTGCATGTGCCTTCACGACACCAGACAAGAAACTTGGGAAGAGTAAGACACAGAGGCAGAGAGAGAGCTAGGGAGGAGGGCTTATAAGGAAGACGCTCTGGAAGAGCTTCTCGCGGGACCAGCCTCAGAAACAGGAGAGAGATCAGATTCTGCCAAGAAAAACATGGTGGGGGGGGAAGGGTTTAGAGGACATGATGCTTTCATAATTCTGTGCAGTGCTGTATTCTGAAGACCACATTTTAAGAAAAGATTTATCTGGGAAAAAAAAAAAAGACATCTGGAAAAAAAAAATCTGTACACTGATTTGTACAGACCTGGAGACTGGAAATGCTGTGGCCCTGTGATGAGTAACTGTCGGTGCCAAGGGAAGACCATCCGAAAACCAGGAAAGGCTTTCTAAAGTTGGGTCAAGCCTTACAGTTCTCTCAGTGTTGGACTAAAAACTGCAGAGCACACCCGAAAACACCCACCAGCATATGCTTCCAAGAAAGGAGTCTTGTTCAGAGGCTGCCCCGACAAGATGTCACCAGCAGTGTGACAAAGTGAGGCACACGGCCCTTCCTGACAAGTTGGCTGTATTCCCCTGGTGTGGGCAGGTGCCTGTGCTGCCTGACACGGGAGGAGGAGGAAAGTGGAGGTTTTCTGGATGCTGACACTGTCCCTGGGTGACAAGAAGGCACACCTACCCAGCTCCCCCTTTCTATCAGGAGCCTCCTAAGTCAGCTGCCTGTTTGCAAAATATTCTAGGGGCACCTACCTGCCTGGATGCACCTCTGCCCAACCCCAGGGAGTGAAAGCCCCACCACCCCAGTAGCCCTGCTTGCTGGCAACCGAGCCCTCCTGACCCCACTTCCCACACTGCTGATTTCACTCAAGAGCTGTACTGTTGAGCCAGGAGCCAGTCGGACAGTACACACTCTGAACTCGGAGCCCTTCCAACCAGGCTGGCAGCTCGCAGGAGACTTGAGTGCAGCTCTCAGCTGGGAGGAGAGCCACATCCTCAGGTTTTTGTTGCTGAAACACCCCTGCAGGACCCTCCTGGAGGCTCTGGTGCAGCTGGAAACCCTAGCAGGGCGCTTGCTGTCTGGTCCCCAGGGCCAGCCCGCCTGCTCAATGATGGATATGACCCAAGATCTCCATCAAAACAAAACAGCACCAGACTCCAAACAAGTCCCTCTCCTAACTTTAGGAAACTCCTCTCCTCTGCCGTTAAGACAAGCAGACAGCGGGTCCGAAAAAGAACTGATAGCAAGAGCCACAAGGCATTTATTTACAAATGCCCACCCCGGTCTCCAGGGGACCGAATCGAAGGCGACTGGCGCAGAGGTCGCCTGCTGCCCTCCGAGCACCCGGGTAGGCCCGCCGAAGCTGTAAGCAGACCCCAGGGGGAGTCGGGACCGGACAGGGCTGCAGGTCGCCCGGTGCGCCGACAGGGTGCTCGGCTCGCCCGGGACTGGCGGGCAGGAGGCTGGGCTGAGGCGGAGGGACGCGCCCAGAGGACAGGGACGGCGCTGCGCAGGGAGCCCCGCGCCCCCGCCCGAGTCCTCCGCGCGCCTGGCTCCGGGGCTGCGCGGGGCGGCCGCGGGCCTCGGGCCCCTCCCGGGGCGGGCACGGACCCCTCCCCGCAGCAACGTCCCGGCACCGCGGCCTCCCGCAGGCCGGCGCACTCACGTGTGGCCGCAGCTGCCGATGGCCACAGGCCGGTGGTACACCTCCAGGCAGATCGGGCAGCTGTACTGCGCCTCCAGGCCGCTGTCGCCGCCCGCCGGCCCGCCCGGCGGCTGCCGCTGCTGAGCCGAAGCCACCAGGCTGCGGAACATCGCCATCCCGGGGCCGGGTCTGCCGCCGCCGCCGCCGCCGCTGTCCCTGTTCCGGCCCCGGCCGGGCCAGGTCCCCGCGTCACGGCCGCGACGGCGCCGCGCTGACGTCATTAGGGAGCGCCCCGCCCCCGCCCCGCCCCGCTCGTCACGGCCGCGGCGCCGCGGCGCTGACGTCATAAGGCGCGCGCTCCGCCCCCAACCCGCTGGCCACGGCCCTGACGGCGTCCCGCTGACGTTATTAGGGCGCGTCTCCCCGCCGCCGGCGCTCACTACCGTGCGACCGGGCGCAGCCATGTGCCAGGTTGGCGAGGACTACGGGGACCCAGCGCCCGAGGGACCGCCGCCACCGCGCCCCGGGTAAGAGCTGGGCGTCCGCACCCGCCCCTCTCCTTCCCGGCGCCGGGCCGGCGGCAAAGCCCTGCCCCGAGGGCCCGGCCCGCGCCTTGCAGTCCGCCCCCGGCGCCGCGCTGCGGAAGCCAGGAGACCGCCGAGGCTGGGGCCTGGAAGCCCCGGGGTCCCGGTGGGGGCGGCACCGTGCTCCGCAGCGCCCGGGGGGTGCCTCTCTAGCCGGGGGCGAACACCCCAGCAAGGGGCTGCCTCTGCGCTCCGGCGCTGGCAGTTCTTGTAGTCTGTGCCCTCAGTCGAAGAGGAGGTCGGCCTCCTGGTCGCTTCCTCCCGCTGCTGCCATCTCTCCCCTCCCGATCCACACAGAGCAGCCTCCCGCTGCTGCCATCTCTCCCCTCCCGATCCACACACAGCAGCCTCCCGCTGCTGCCATCTCTCCCCTCCCGATCCACACAGAGCCGGTCGGCCCTCCAGGCGTGCCGGCACTCGAGAGGCTGACAGGTGGCCCTTATGTGCTTTCTCGGGTGGCTTAAGCAGACTGAAATGCCCCCACGGCCCTTGTCTTTTTTCGTATCGGTAATTTGGGTAAGACACAAGCCTTGGCTGTGGTGTGCAGCTGCTCGCGCGAGCTGCCCATACTCCAGTTGGGGTGAGAATGGCAGTGCCACCTCCCCAAAGCCCGCTGGAGGGAGGTCTGCGATCTGTGTTCTCCTCCCCCGCCCCCATGTCTCGAAAGCCGTGAGCTGAAGTGTGTGAAGTGCTCGGAAGGCCTACCCGTGGTGGTGATTCGAGCAGGAGATGCCTTCTGCAGGTGAGGCCTGGAGGTGGGTAGGAGGTTTGGCTTAGCAGCCAAGCTTGCCCCCCTTCTGTGGCTTTATCTCTTGTTTTGAAGCATTTACTTCTAACGTCGCTCCCAGTGACTCTGGTGCATGTGTGGGGTGTTGGGTTTCTGTGTGGGTACGCCGTAATTCTCCCGCGGTCCAGCTGTGGGTCAGGTGGCAGGAGGGCATCTGATGGCACTTAGGAAGGTGGCAGAGTGAGGGTGGTATAGGCAAGATGAGCATTTCGGAGCAGCTGGAACACATCTAGGGGCAGATTAGAGCATCCTGAGATCTTGGGCAGGTGCTCTGGGGATGATCTTTTATTTTTTTTGTTTTTTAAAGAATTTGTTTATTTGGGGGGTGCACAAGCGGGGAAAGGGGCAGAGGGAGAGGAAGAGGCAGGGTCCCCGCTGAACAGGGAGCCTGATGCGGGACTTGATACTAAGACCCTGGGATCATGACCTGAGCTGAAGACAGACGCTTAACTGACTGAGCCACCGAGGCATCGCCCAGCTTATGGTTTTTTTTTTTTTTTAAGATTTATTTATTTATTTGAGAGAGAGAGAGTACGTGAGGGGGGGAGGGTCAGAGGGAGAAGCAGACTCCCCGCCGAGCAGGGAGCCCAACGCGGGACTCGATCCCAGGACTCCGGGATCATGACCTGAGCCGAAGGCAGATGCTTAACCAACTGAGCCACCCAGGCGCCCCCCAGCTTATGTTTTTAAAACAGTCTCCACGAGTCTTGGATTCTACTTTCCAGAATTTTCCAAAAGAGAAACTGAAGGGACTAAGGTTTTTTCTCAAAGCTTTCTCCTCCCTAGCCATCTTTTGGGAACACAGTAAACTTGGTGTGTGCTACTGCTTTAATCTCTCAGAGCATCTGAAGCGATGACAGTTCAGAGAAGAGGCTGCAGCAGCTCCTTCTGGGCTCAGAGCTCCCGTGGGCAGCCACAGGTTCTTTTTGTGCCCCGTGCAAGCATCTGTGTTTTAGCAGCCTTACCCCTCCCCGATGGTGAGTGAGTTCCTGGGCCTCGCTGCCTGTGGCTGCTCACCTGGGGCCTTGGCATTTTATTAAACACCACGTTGACCTACTGACCACAAAGGAATGTGGGGTGTTTGGTCAGCCCCTCAGAGTGGTGCCTGTTCAGTGGGGGGCAGGGGGAATTGTGGACACTGCTGTGTCTTTTTTTTTTTTTTTTTTTTTTTTTTTAAGGTTTACTCCGGGACGCCTGGGCGGCTCAGTTGGTTAAGCGTCCGACTCTTGTTTTGACTCAGGTCATGATCTCGGGGTCCTGGGATAGAGCCCCACATTAGGCTTTGTGGTCCGCGTGGAGTCTGCTTGAGATTTTCTCTCTCTCTGCCTTGCGTCTTTCCTCACACACTCCTGTTCTCTTTGTCTTTCTAAAAAAATAAAGGCTCTTAAAAAAAGACATTTATTTTTAAGAGAGGTTTATTTATTTGCTTTAGAGGAAAAGAGGGTGTGGGCGAGGGGGTGGGGCACAGAGAATCTCAAGCAGACTCCACGCTAAGCCCAAAGCCTGAGTTGGGGCTTGATTTCATGAAATCATGATCTGAGCCGAAACCAAGATTTGGAGGCTTAACCAACTGAGCCACCCAGGCGCCCCTGGTATGTCTTAGTAGGAAAAAGAAAGTAGACTTAGGGGTGGCAGCCTCAGGTGTGGGGCAGTTCTCAGGGAGCCACATTGCTGTCATCGACCCTGACTTCCCTGCCTGGGTTGCCAGGGAGCTTTTAGATGCAGACGCCTCAGCCTCACTCTGGCACTTTATGTCCGATGTATTTGGCCTGAGGGATTCTAACCTGTAGCTGAGCCTGAGAATCAGGTGGGAGGATTTTCAGGAATGCTGATTCCCAGGGCCCGCCCTGGAAGTTCTGATTCTTTGGGTTTGAAGAAGCAGCCAGGACTGTGCATTTGCATGAACTTCCCAGGCATTTCTTGTTGAGATGGTATCAGCTCGGGAATGGCGTTCTGGGACACGGGGCACCCGCTGCTGTCTACTCACTGCTTCCCCCTTTGCCCCAAGAGATAGTACTTCTCCCCGTGGGAGTTTTGGAAGGCGCCTTCCACTCTGCTTGTGGGAGGGTCAGGCTGGCCTTGCCCTGCACTTCCCTGTATCCGTCCATTCTGCCTGCTGGGCCTTCCTGAGTGTTTGGAGGTGCGGGTGGCACCTGGGCTCTGGGCCGCTCAGACATCAGTTCACACTAGTAAGGATTGTTGGGGACTAAGGGGGGCCTCCCTGTGCAGCACGGGGCTGGTCCTGGGGCAGACAGCTGGCAAGAACCTCTCAACCCTGGATTCCCTTGTCAGTTTCTGGGCACAGCCTCTGTCAAGATGCTGCTTTTAAAGATGGACATTGGTAAGAGAAGGAAAATAGAACGCTGCAGCGTCTCAGGCTGCGTCCCCATTGGGGCCATGTGGCCACAACTGCTGGTTGTCTGTTGCAGGGACTGTTTCAGGGCCTTCTACATCCACAAGTTCAGAGCCGTGCTTGGGAAGAATCGGTTGATCTTTCCGGGTGAGAAGGTAGTGTGTTGGGGTGACTCTTCTGCGGGGTCCCCAGCTGGGAAGCCCAGGCCCCCCTGGGCCCTGGCTCTCAGCCCCTGCCTCCCCTCCCATTGTCACGCACGGGTGATGGTGGTGGTGGAGAGGGTGGGCTTGCTCATGGGGGAGATGCAGCGCTCTCCAGCGACGTTCCTTCTCCCATAGGTGCTCCTGGCATGGTCTGGGGGGCCTTCATCCAGCTCCATGGTCTGGCAGGTCCTTGAGGTATGTCTCCTAGCATCTTCCAGGGTCCTGGCTGCTTCCCTGCTGAGTTGCAGGGTTGGGGGCCCAGGCCTGAGGCGCTCTTGCCTGCAGCTGGCGAGAGCAGCCCACCGCTAGCTGGGATGCCCAGAGGGTTGTCGGATGTGTAGACAGGGCTGCACAAACTGGAAGCTGAGTCTGGAGCACCCAGCTGTGCCCGAGTGTAGGACTGTTTGCCGACCACATAGAATCCTAGTCATAGGGAACACGTGATGGCATGGTGGAGCGTTGCTTGAGGTGTTCCCGAGTTCATGGGCCTCCCCCTGGTCCTGGGTCCAGGACAAAACCGGGAAATACGAGTAGGTGCCTTGGGGAACCCAAAAGGGGTCCAGCCTGGCTGGGGTCGGGCAGCTTCCTTGAGAAGTTTGAGACCCAAATGAGCAGTGGGGATGCCAGGGAATGTGAAGTTGGATGGGGAGGGAGAGCGTATGGGAGAGGGTGCTCACTGGGGAGCTGTGCTCCAGGCTCTCGGCAGGCCGCTCACACTGTTGTCCGGCGTGTTGGAGACGGCTAGGGCTTTTCCTAAGGGCCCTGGCTGCCGTGGAGGCCTTGACCTGGGGCTGGGACATACACAGACCCTCTGCAGACCCTCTGCATTCCCAGTGAGGGGCACAGATGAGAGGCATGGTCTGTCCGGGGGTCTCTGGCATGGTGCTCTTCTCCTCTCACTTCATGACCCCCTAAGCCTGGCCTCGTGTAAGTGCCCGCTCTGTTGGCCTTTTGTCCGGCACCTGGAGGCCCCGTTTCCTCTAACTGATAACACCTTGATGGTAGTCTGTTGTCCTCTTGCACTCAGCCGTCAGAGGTGCTCAGGCAGGCTCCTCTCAGGACATTGCTGGCGGCGGGGGGTCTGGGGGGGGTGGGAGACTGGTGAGGGGCAGGTGTTACTGGGGCGGTGAAGATGCCCAAACAGCCACTTTGACCATGTCGGGCTGTGCGGCCTCCCCATGGGGCCTGCTCGGCACTTTGAACGGTTTGTCTGTTCCAGGTGGGGAACACCACCCCTTCCTGGAGGACATCAGTTCAGATGGAGAGTGGTTTGTGCCGGGAAGGTGTCTTCTGGCTTCTGACCGTGGGGCTGAGGTCCTGTCCCTTTTCTGTCTAGGGCCTGAGTCGGGATTCTGCCAAAAGACTGCGTTTTGTGCCAGGGGTTGTATACGTCGATGGTATGTGTAACCGTCCCAGCCCCAGCCCCAGCCCCAGCCGCTCAGGATGAGCCCCATTGAGACAGTGGAGCTGTGCCCTTAGGAGGCACTTAAACTTAATGAGTATTTGGAGGCAACACATGGGTCTAGCAACAAAGTCCCCGTTGTTGTCTTAGACTTTTGTTAGAGTCAGGCAGGCCTGTCTGCCTAGTGTCCATGGATCAGGGGCCAGATGCTCACCTGCCCCGCCCCTTGCTCCCTGAGATAGGCTCCCACATGGGTCTGGGGCAGTGGGGTCCGTCACGCCTCCCCCCCCCCCCCCCCCCCCCCCCCCCGCCCGGGGGGGGGGGGGCCCCCCCCCCCCCCCCCCCCCCCCGCCTCTCCCCTGTGCCGCTGGAGAGAAGCCACTCCCCACTCTGGTAATGCTGCCCTCCCTGAGAACAGGTACATGTCCTGTGGTTTCCACCAGAAGGCTTCGTAGAGTTGCTCCCAGGACATGGCCTTATCCCATCTTGGGCTCTCCTGTAGTCATGATTCCTTTCTGCCTGCACTTAGAGGGAGCAGCTTGTGGCCAGAGCCGGGAGGACAGAGCAAAAACTCTGTCTGATGTGAAGCGGATCCTACAGACCCTCGGCTTCCCGTGGCACGTTGTCACCTTGGAAGAGGTGGGTGGGCCTGATTCAGGGCAGGCCTCCGCGTGCCCACAAGGGCCTGTGGGGTCACCTGTGGGCCTTGCCTGTGGCCTGTTTGTTCTGGCACGTGGGGGGCGGGGGGCAGACCTGGGCCTTACGCTCTCTCCCTGCCCTGGAAGGTGTTTGCCCTGCCGCCGTCCGTGCTGCGCTGCTCTGCCCCGGAGCCGGTGGGTACTGTGGGGACCTACAAGGTGGCTGTGGACAGTTTCCTTCAGCAGCAGCATACGCTGGAGGCTGAGGGCGTTGGGGACAGCCCCAGCTCAGCCCAGGGGGAGGCGCAGCCGAGCCAGCCCTGCACCCAGGACCCCCAGGACCTGGCTGAGCCACCCCCGGCTGCCCAGACCGAGGCTCTGTCCCGACTGTTTGACTCCGTGAAGACGTTGACGGCCAAAGAGGAGCTTCTGCAGACCCTGCGGTGAGCCCCCATCCCCACCCTGGCAGCTAGGCCCTGCTTCTTCTGGCCCCCTGAGACCCTGGGCTCTGCTCTGCAGGACCCACCTGATCCTGCACGTGGCTCGGACCCATGGCTACTCCAAGGTGATGACGGGAGACAGCTGTACCCGCTTGGCCATCAAACTCATGACGAGCCTGGCACTGGGGAGAGGGGCCTTTCTCGCCTGGGACACGGTATGTGGGTACGGGCATTCCAGGGGCCCTTCTGGCCCACGTCACTTGAAAGTAGCGTCAGGAGTCTGTGCCAGGGTCTCCCTTGTGGTGCAGGGAAGGCGGAGCTGTGAGCCCGTGTGCTGGGTGCGGTGACGAATGTGCCCCCACCGCAGGGCTTCTCCGACGAGCGGCACGGGGACGTGGTGGTGGTGCGGCCCATGCGTGAGCACACGCTGAAGGAGGTTGCCTTCTACAACCGCCTGTTTGCCGTTCCCTCTGTCTTCACCCCAGCCATCGACACCAAGGTGAGTTGCGGGATTATCCAGCATGGGGTCAGAGGTGGCCCTCTCCCGTGTGGGCTCAGAGGTGGCTAGCACACTCTCAGTGGCCTGAGCTGTGTCCACACCAGCTCCTTGGGAGCACACGCAGGGCACTCCCCTGCCGAGGAGAGGCAGGCTAGTACTCGGCCAAGGGGGGCTTGCATGGAGGGTGTAATAGCAGGTGTGTTCAGTGACAGGGACACAGATGCGGGTGCTCTGGCTCACTTCAGTCCCGACTTGGCACTCTCAGGGCTGACGGTGTGAAGCCCTGGCCCCCACGCTAGGTGGCCGCTGGGCCAGGCCTGGGCGCGCCACTTTTGCAGTCCTCCATCTGATTATCCCTAGGCCCCCGAAAAGGCCAGCATCCACCGGCTGATGGAGGGCTTCCTACTCCGACTGCAGGCCCAGTTCCCCTCCACAGTCAGCACCGTGTACAGGTGCGTGTGCGTCAGCGCCTACGGTGGGGTGGGCGTGTGAGCGCTGAGCCTACACCCGGGTGCTTGTGCAGGAGTGAAGCCCAGCCTCACGCTGCCTTTGTGCCCCCTCTCCCACCCCATCAGGACCAGTGAGAAGCTGGTCAAGGCCCCCAGGGATGGCTGTGCCTCTGGCCCCCGCTGCCTGCTCTGTATGTGCTCGCTGGACGTCGACACTGCTGGTCCGTGAGGAGGGGGAGGGGCACTGGGGAGTGGGAGTTGGGTGTCTAGCCCCAGGAGGACCCTTAGCCTCTCTCTGTCTGCAGATAGTGCCACAGCTTTCGGGGCTCAGACCCAGGATTTCTCCCAGATGCAGCCCCCCACCCCACTGGCTGAGGCTGGGGCCCCCACCGTGCCTTGCCGTTCTGCAGAGGTGGGCAGGGCCCCGAACTGCTGCCAGGGGACCAGGCCGTGCAGGAGGTGAGTCCCTTCCTGGCCCCGCCCTGACCCGTGGTCAGCCCCAGGCCACTGGCCAGGGTAGGTGCGGCACCCCAGGGCCCCGAGCCGCCAGCCAGGCTAAGTGAGGCACCCCGAGGCCCTGCACCAGTGCTCAGGCACAGCTCTGCTCCTCCAGGGAGGACTCCCGAGCCCGTGTCATCAAGCAGCTGTGCTACGGCTGCCGCGTGAATATGAAGGATGTGGTGAGTCGTTCTCACTCCTGGGTCGTGACAGGGGAGGCCCACCCCCCGGGGCTTGGTGCCACGCAGCCCCTTGTCCATGGCCATCCTCTATTGCAGCCCTCCTTGGACCCCCTGCCACCTTACATCTTGGCCGAGGCCCAGCTCCGCAGCCAAAGGTATGGGCTAGCCACACGGCTGGGGGAGTGCCGGAGGGGTCCTTCTGGGCGGTGGCCCCCACGGGGCAGATTCCCAGTGTATGGCTTTTCCCAGGCTCTCGCCAGAGATCCAGGAGTATCTGCTGGAGAACAGTGACGACAAGGCGCACACCAGCGGGAGCGGAGCCTGGGGCCCCCCAGAGCAGGAGGGCAAGGATGGGCAGACAGTCTGTGATTGTATAAATAAAAACATTTTTAATTAGAAAACCCTACAGTACGCATGGGGAAGGGAAGGCTGGAGCCCCTGGCCCAGTGTGCCGGCTGCGCTGGGCCCTGCGCCGGGCCGAGGAGGGGCCCCAGCTTCCTTCTGGCAGCAGCGTCAGGGCGTGGCGGCCGGGGCTGGGGTGTCTGCGCCCAGCAATGTGCTGGGCGGCTCCTTCATGCGTGGGTGCAGGAGCCCCGCTCCTACTCCTTTTCACGGGTCCACTTGATCATAGTTTCGGGCGAGCGGTACAGGAAGATGAGCTTGGCGTAAAGCTCCTCCTCGAGCTCCAGCTCCCGCGTCTCCCGCACCAGGAAGATGTCCTGACAGAGCTTGAGGATGCGGTCCACGCACGGCAGCTCCTCGAACATGATGGAGTGCGAGATCTCGCTGAAGAAGCCGCGCACGAACTTGCCGATGACCAGCACGATGGACACGTAGAGCCCCATGATCCTGCCAGGCAGGAGTTGGGTGAGGTGGGGGGTGATGCTGGCGCTGCACCCTGCCCACCCGCCTGTCCTCATGTGCAGCACACTCACCCGTAGCCAGCCAGGAAGCCCAGGCTGGGCGGGCTGACCTTGTCACTGAAGATGACCATGGGCAACAGGTTGCACTCGGCCTGGCAGTCCTGCAGCTCGATGACCCACCACTCGAGGAAGCCAGTGGCCCCTGCGGCCACGCGCTCCCTCCGCAGCTGGATGCGCACGCTGAGGTAGTCTTCCTCCTCGTCTGGGGCAGGGGCAGAGTGGGTCAGGGCCACCGCCCTCCCCCAGGGCTGAGGCCACCCCCCCCATCCCCAACACACACACACACACACACTCACTGGGCTGCAGCTGCTTCACAGGGTTGGCTTCCGGCCCGTTGGGGGCCCGGATGTACTTGGGGAAGAGGTTGCGGATGACCCTGCAGGGAGAAGGCCAGTGGGTCAGGCCCAGCCTGGCCCTCCAGCTGCCTCCCTGCGCCCCTCGCCCCACCCCGGCCCCAACTCACACGGACTGGTCGGAGGTGCCTTCGAGCAGGCTGGCCAGCTGCCGCCGCTCACTGCTGTTGGGGGCCAGGTCCAGGGTGTGCTTCTCGTTGGTGTACTCCACGGTGCCGCCCTTGGCCAGGTCCCTACGTGCCAGAGCACAGTGTGACCCACTGTGGGCTGCACTCCCCCCAGGTCCCGCCCCAGCCCAGCACGCACCTCTGGAAGTTCCAGGTGAAGCGCAGGGTGATGTCAGCCGTGCCATTGTATAGCTCCCGCTTCATCTGGGCCCGGCTCGGCGGGCTGATGCGCCACAGCGCCCCGGAACTGCCCTCGATCTGCGCCGTGACGACGTCCTCGGGGCTGTACTGGCTGATGAACTGCATGGCCAGCTGGACCCCAGGCAGCCCTTGAGCGAGGGGCTCCCGGATACCCCCCCCCCACCCCCGCCACTGCTGCCGGGTGGGGCCCACTCACCGGGTTAGGGTCAAATTGCCTGGACAGCTCCTCATAGGCCTGCTGTGTGAACGGCACGATGGACGGCTGCTGGGCGCTCATGGTGAACAGGGGCTGCCAGGGTGGGGGCGGCGACTGTGATGGGGCAGGGAGGCCCCGTGGTGCCAAACGCCGTGAGGGTGGGAGGGGTGCGAACCGTGCCCACAGTCCCCCGTTTCCGGTGGGCACAGACTGGTGGCTCACCTCATAACCACCCAGCTTGAGGGTGACCGTGACGTCGATGGGCTGGTTGACGACGCCGACCACAGAGCGCACCAGGGACATGAAGAGCAGCGGGAACCAGATGATGGCCACGAGGAAGAGAATGATGAGGCCGCCCATGCCGTACTTGACGATCTTCTTCTTCTTCTGCCCCTTGGGCTGCGGGTATTTCTGGGGGGTGGGGCAGGGCTCAGGGGCTCAGCCCTGCCTGCCCCCTTGCCCCAGGGGGAAGGCGGGCACTGGCCCACACCCCGGAGCCTCACGCAGCCACAGCCTGGGGCCCACCCAGGGGCTCGTGAAGCCAGATTTTAAAGCATCACAGCTGACTGCAAAGCTCCGGCACTTGAGACACAAGGGCCCAGAATGCAACCCGCCGCTCAGTGAGCGCTGCCAGGATGATTCCACGCGGGGAAGGACCATCTCTTCAACGATGCTGCTGGGACAAATGGCTGTCCGCGTGCCAAAGCAGCAGGACCCCTAGCTAAGACCTCAATCTGGATTCCATGGAAAATTCTCAGATCAAACGTGGAAAGCACGAGCAATTGAGAGAAAAAACACTGTACGTTATAAAAAAGGAAAGTTTGTGCTTCAGAAAATGAGATGCTATCAAGAAAGTGAGGGGATGGGATGTCTCAGTGGCTCAGTCGGTTAAGCGTCTGACTCTTGGTCTTCGCTCAGGTCGTGAGGTCAGGCCCTGTGTCGGGCTCCACACTGAGAAGTCTGCTTGAGATTCTTTCCCTCAGCCACTCCCCCTGCTTGTGCTCTATGCTCTAAAATCTTTTTTTTTTTTTTAAGATTTTATTTATTTGAGAGAGAGAAAGAGAGCATGAGACAGGGGAGGGTCAGAGGGAGAAGCAGACTCCCCGCTGAGCAGGGAGCCCGATGCGGGGCTAGATCCCGGGACTCCAGGATCATGACCTGAGCCGAAGGCAGTCGCTTAACCAACTGAGCCACCCAGGCGCCCCTAAAATAAATCTTAAAAAAAAAAAAAAGCGAAGAGACCACACAGAGAATGGGAGAAGCTATCTACAAATCCTATGTGATAAGGGTCTAGTGTCCAGAATGCAAAAACAATTCTTAAAAAGAAGTGAACAAGCAAGCCAAGGACAAAAGGGGCAAAGCAGATCGCTGACAAGCACACAAAACGATCGTCACCATCATTCACCTCAGGGAAACGCAAATCAAACCCCCCCTGAGTCACGGGCGCTGGTGGGGATGGGGGAGGGGGCGGTGGACAGCAGGGGCAGGCCCCACCAGGAGCTGCCCTCTGATGCAGCCACCGTGCTGCGGGGCATGTGCCCGAGAACAACACAAGCTTGTGTTCACAGCAGTGCGCGTTGCAATGAACAGAAGGAACCAGCTCGCCGTCCAGGGCTATTTGTAACCGTTGGGTACATGTACGGCGGCACAGTCACACGAAGGAATGCTCCTCAGCCATAAAACCCTCAATCCTGACACAGGCCACATGGACTAGCCTTGAAACTGCAGAACGAAAGAAGCCAGATGCAGGCCACGCGGTGTGTGACAGCGTGGACACCAACTTCTAGAACAGACAAGTCTGTGCGGAGTCGGGAGGGCGGTGGCGGGGGGGGCTTTCTGCAGAGCGTGAGCACATCTTAGATCTGCCTGCGGATGTGGCCAGCTCTGCAATGACGCTAGGAGTCTCTGAACTCTACCCATGCGCTGGGGGGGGGCCTGTTTCCGTTATCTCCCACTGCAGCCGCTCACACAGAAAACCCAGCTGACCCTCACTGCCCCAGCTCCCAGCTCTCGTGCCTGTGAGCCAAGCAGTCAAGCCTCCTGGGCCGGGCATGCACTCAGGCCCGCTCTGCCAGCTACCCGCCGACGGCCACATTCACGGCCCTGTCCCCGCGCCCCGCGCCCCCCGCGGGACCGCCAGCACCACCTGGCTCGCTCGTGGCTCATCTGCCCCACTCCCCGCCTGAGCCAGGCACCTTCTCAGTCTCGCGGCTGCACTTGATGATGAAGATGTTGGCGTAGATGTCCTCCACGCACATCCAGCTGGACAGGGACAGCGTGGTGTCTGTCCACACCCAGTCCATCACGGCCCGAAGCTCCACCAGGAACGGCACAAGGCGGAACCTGCCCAAAGCGGGGAGCCCATCAGGAGGGCCTATGGGTGGCAGCCTGGTTCCTGGCGCCCGGGGCCAGCCCACACTCACCCCTGGAAGAGGAAGAGGTTCAGGTGGTTGTACTTCTTGGTGAGGAAGTTGCCAAGGATGCGGGTGGGGTATCCGCAGCGGATCTGGTAGGCGGACAGGGCGAAGTAGATGCACTTGACGAAGTACCACAGCTGGGCCACTGCGTTCTGGCTGAACATCCTGGGGGGACAGGAAAGCCAGCTCAGGGCACCCTGCCCGAGGCCAGAGCCCTAAGGTCCCCGGGGCCAGACACCCACCTCTCGGTGACGGCAGGCAGAATGAAGAACATCCAGAGGTGGATGGCCAGCACCAGGACGACCTGGAAGGCCAGCTTGCCCAGCACGGTCTTGCGGAGGTAGAGGGCACGGTCGATGACCATGGTGCTGAACTGGATGAGCAGCATGACCAGGAAGGCCTCTGGCACCTGGTCGTCTGAGAGCGAGGACGTGATGTCTGTAGCTGCCGAGTGTTTCTGTGCCGGGAGAGCAGAGGTCAGGGGGCAGCTAGGGGCAGGCAGCGGGGTGGCCACCGGGGTCTGCGCTCACCCCAAAGGCCCAGAAGCCGAAAATGATGATGATGAAGTCGACCACGTCGGCCAGAAACATAAGTGCGTAGACATCGGTGGCCGCACGGTACTTGGTGTGCAGGATATCGTGGAAGAAGCGCCGCAGGGGCTGGTACACGCTCTGGGCCCTGTGGGTGAGGCCAGGTGGGCAGGGGGCTCAGTGCCTGCCTCGGCTTTTCCCACCCACCCTCGCCCGGGAGCGGCCAGCCGTCACGCACATGGCCAGGCAGAAGCTCTGCAGTCGGAGCCCCGCGGCTGTCACTCTTTCCCGGGGGCGACTCCACTTCTCTCTCCCAGAGGCTGCCGTCACACCTTCTGTGGGGGGCAGCCACTGCTGACCGGAGCCCCCAGAGAGCTGAGTGCAGCTCAGACTCCAACCAACCCGAGACCCCCTCCCACCAGGGGCTGGCATCACCCCATTTCACAGGCCAGCAGGCTGAGCATGGGGACCTCCCCAGGTCACGGGCAGTGGGCTGGCTGGGGCAGCGGGGAACCGGGTGGGCTGGATGGCTGTGCACAGACAGGGCCGTCCTACCAGTGGCTGCAGGTTCTACAGGCTCCGCGCTCTCCCTCCTTTTCTTCCTGAAGCGCAGG